GGCCCGCCACACCGGCTGAGGTGCGCTACATCTCCCCCAAGCACCGCCTCATCAAAGTAGAGAGCGCCGCAGCGGGTGGTGCAGTGGATCCCCCGGGGGGCGCCTGCTCGGGCGGTCGCACCTGGAGCCCGACGGCTTGCGGAGGCAAGAAACTGCTCAACAAGTGCGCTGCCTCGGCTGCAGAAGAGAGCGGGGCCGGCAAGAAGGACAAGGTAAGGTGCTTCTTGGCCTCGCCCGAGGTTCCAGAGACACTTCGCACAGGGAAACTGAGGCACCGCTTCAGTACCTAAACCCTACATAAACTTCGACCTAGGACCGTGGGGCCAGGTCTCCGGTGCTGCCACTTGATTCTGCCCATTCCTTCCCGCACTCTCCCAGGTGCACCGTCCCTTCGCTGCTGTTCCTTAACACGTCCTCTCAGAGCCCACAGCCCTAGCGTGGGAGCCCCGCCCAGCCTTGCCTAAGGAAGAGGGACCCAGCCAGCCCTTCCGGCTCGCGAGTAAAGTCCAGAGAGTCAGGGCTATCACGGGCCCTCATTTTCTCTTGGGTCCCCCAGGCTTCCTCCTCCAACACACACACGATGTGTGGCTGGAAACTGAGGTCCAGAGCCGGGAGGGAATTCGATTTATTGTACGCAGTGTTCTTGGTGGCAGATCCAGGACGGCTGTCCCTGAATATGTATATGTAAATCTTTCTACAAGCCCCACCCTCCTTGCCTTTTTTCCAAAGCCGGGTGGCCTATTGTGCTGGAGCGGCACTGGGAACCCCCCAGGCGAGCTTTTCTGCCTGAAATGCACTACCTCCAAGACTGCCCCACACTAATAGGGCAGTTCCTACCCCAGCACTCCCCAGGGGGTCCACCTGTCAGGTGGGCTGAAAGGAGACCCACCCCTCCTCTCTCACCTTCTTCCTTCCTGACCCCTTCCCCACCGTTGGATCCCAGGGGAGAGAGGGCTCTTTGTGGTAACCCCATTCCTAATATATCAGGCCATCTTAATCCACCCCTATTGAAGTAAGTGAGTTAATTCCAGTCAGAAGCAGCCTCCTCCTCTTCACACTCCTGAAGGCCTCCTTCCCCCATAAAATAGTACTTGTTCTGTCTACTTCTGGTGGAAGGCAGTGTTTTGATTGAATGCAAGGCCCAGTGGAAGAGCCCACTCCTTAGGGCAGGATTGCCTGGCTGTCAGGCCCCTGCACCCTTGTTCTCCCCCACATTCTCCTCCCAGAGATAAACTTTTGCCCAGGACTGGGTTGATAAAAAGTCTGAGTTCCTCTTAGGACTGGATGTCTGGACAGGAGGGAGACAGGCTTCTACCTGCCAGCTGGTGCTTGGAAAGGGATCTTTTTGTTTTCTTTGAGGAAGGAGTAAGGGGATGCCTTCCTTTAATTTTTCTGCCAGATCTCCTTTCTACAGTGTCCTGGAGTATTTTCTCCCCTGCTTGTTTTGCCAGGACTGGTGGTGAGGGCAGTCTAGAGCACCCCACCTCTCCTGGAGCAGTTTGGGAACTGGGAATACACCTTGGAAGCTTGAACTCTGGACTTGTCAAGCACCCAGGATACCACAGCTTGAAGACAGCTGGGAGCTAGGTGGCCACCCGGGCACTGCCTTGGTGAGGTGGGGAGATATCCCTGGGAGCCACTGGTTGATCTAACAGGAGAACACTGAAGAGGCCCCTTGCAGTCTTATGTATAGCCCAAACTTGGCTTCATGCACAGATTCCAGAGAACCTGGAATTTGGGGGTATAGAAGGCACGAGAAAACGCTCCCAAAGGTTGCAGCTGACATTTGGATCCTTTCCATCCCCTTCTTACCCACAATCACCAGCCAGCAGAGCAGAGCTCCTTCTTTTCATGCTGCTAGTGGTTCTGCCTCTCACTAAAGTCTTCTTTTGTGGCTTTTAAAACTTGAGTGAACATTCTTTCCCAATTACATTTAAGACTGTTTCAAATACGAAGGAATAATGTGTTTTGTAGCTGGAATGTCAAGTGTGTTTAAGACCTGGTCTCATTCTATCACCAGATATTTCTTGTAGGTATTCTCTGTGTCCTCCCTGCAAGATGCTAGCTACAGTGGGACCCCTTGTGGAGCTGATGTCCCCGTTGAATGCTGTGATGGGGGCTGTTGTGCCTGGTTGAATGCTGTGATGAGACCTAGTGTTACAGGAGTCAGCAAGGATACCTCAGAGGCAGAACCATTATTGAGCAGGAAGAATTGGGACCATAGATGACCTGCTACTTCTAAAGACCTGCAGGTGCTTCCTTCTCATCTAAGTTAGCCAAGTTTTAGCCAGCACTTGCTTTGTGTTCAGAGGTATCTTCGCCCAAGCCAGGAGATGAGGGAGTGAACGCTGCAGACTACACAACAGAAATCTCTAGCCTGAGCCTCAGGAGGTAAAGTCCCCATGATTGGGCAAGACCCTAGACAGGCAGCAGGTGCCAGGGGTTAGGGTCCTTGTGCGTTGAGCTCAGTGAGGGACAATGGATGGATTTGGCTGCCAGAGTGATATGGTCACCTCAGATATAACTTTTTTGGAACCAACTCTCTGGGCTACTTTTCACTACTAGGTTGTGACTTTGAACTCTTTGATCTTTTAAGAAGTTGTCCCTCTCAGGAGAAGGGATGGCAGTTACCAGATGTTTTTCTACTGAGGAGGAAAGGAAGCAGCTGGGTAGGGAGGAGGCTCCAAGGGAGGGTCTGCAAGGCTCTCTCACTTTAGAATTTGCATTATGATAAGTTCTCTACTGATCTTTGACTGCTGAACCCGGGACTACACTTGGAGAAGCACTGATGCAGCTATGGCTTCTCTCCTTAACTGTCCGTCTGGGTCTTCTGACCTCTGCTACTTTGGGATGCAGAGAGTCCAGATGCCCTGTGTCTACCCTCTGTGTGTGGCCACCACCCCCACCCCATCAGGCGGTCAGGAGGCAGTCTGTTTTTTACATTACTTCCAGCCAGACAACTTTTGGAAGGTCAGGCACACTGTGATGTAGTCCTGAATACCTCAGAGCCTTCCTTCTGCCCCCTACCCAAGAAAACCCACTTAGCCTTCTGTCAGCTCAGCTTTCTTTGATTAGTCCTTAGGGAATTGGATGAGCCTGTCAAGCCTGGCAAATGCCCCACTGTGTGCCAGGCCTGTGTTTGGTTTTAGCATCAAGCCTGAGTTGAGAGTTATTGAGGTGTGGAGTGGGTCTGTTGGTTAGCAGATCCTTCTTCTAGTCCTGCCCCCCACTACAGTTTATCTTTTGAGACCTCCATTCCTGCTGACCTCAGTTCCTGTGCTGCCCTCTGTCACACACTGAGGCACCCACCTGCTCTCCCAGGTGAGTCCTGGGGCACGCATATCTAGTCACATCCCCACCAGCATTCAGTCTGGGGCATTTTCCTTTTAGAGTCACTTGGAAGAGAAACTGTTTACTGTGGTGGTTCCTCCTCATCTAAGTTAGGCAAGCTTTAGCCAGAACTTGCTTTGTGTGCTGGCTAAAGCTTGCTTGTGAGACAGAAGTGGAATTGCACTGCAAGGGAGGGACAGCAGGCTGCAGAGAACTATGTCAGGCTAAGTGTGTACCTGTGTGCATGTAAGGGTATGCATGTGGGGGGGTACATATGTGTGCATGAACATGTATCAAACCCCAATATGTTCTTGGAAACCAGTGCTTTCATGTCATGGGTCTTGCATGGAGTAACAATGTGAGAGAGGTGGGGTCCAAACTTGGTACCCCACAGGTAGTCCCTGCAGACTGGAGAGCCACAGAAGGGATGTGCTCAGAGCCATGACTGAGGAACATCCCAGCCTCTGAATAGTTGCCAACATATGGAGGAAATGGAGCCGGAATTGGTGCAGTTGTGCTGTAGTTCAGATGAGAGATGCTGGGGGCTTTAGGTCCTGGGGAAAAACATACAAACTGTAGTAGAAATAGCATTCTTTCAAGTTGTGCCTTATTGAAGAGGAAAAAAAAAATGATAACAAAAACGGCCAGTGACTTGATGGATCTCCTTTGGTGAGACAGGACTCACCCAGTTATGTTTTCTTCCGAAGTCTTGTTTCTTTTATTATAATTAAGTAAATATTTCCACCACAACTGAGAAAGTCGAGATGCATCATGGTATCCGTTTTCCTGGGTTTTAAATACATGCTAATGTGTACCAACGCTTGAGATTTTGTCAGCATCCACAAAGTTGAGTTAAATAACACGTTTTCCATAGTTACGGAGTAAATAGTATCATGTCTTTTTTTTTTTTTTTTTCCTTTTTAAAAACATCTAGCAAAGTTTCTGAGCTGCCTGCTAGACAAGGGGAACTCAGGGAAATAAGTGGTAGCTAATTTCCAAGGATGGAGCTTCTCAATTTGCAGTTGAGTACAGTTGGCTGTGTATCCTGAGGTTCTGCATGTACAGATTTAACCAACTGCAGACCAAAAATATTTGAAAAAAATAGACTTTTCCCCCTTGTCATTCCCAAAACAAAGTAATATAATGAGTATATTCATAGCATTTACATTGTATTAGGTGTTATAAGTGATATAGAGACAATTTAAAATATACCAGATGATGTGCATAGATTATATGTAAATCCTATGCCATTTCATAAAGGGGACTTTAGCATCTTGGATTTTGGTGTATGAGGAGGGCCTTGGAACCTGTGCCCCACAGAGATTAAGAAACAACCTATAAGCTTCTCAACTTCTATTCAGTGAGACAGTGTCACAGCCCAAGGAAAATCAGGAGAAAAGGGTGTGCAAGGGCTTGGAGGACCTGAATGCTGGCCAGGGAAGGAGGATTTCAGGAGAAGGGGACATCTGAGCTGACTCAGGCATGAGGATCTGCAGGCAGAGAAGTGTGGAAGAGGGGCTGGAGGCTTGAGAGAGAGTGGTGGGAATAGGGGAGGTGGCAGAAGGAGTTGGAGCCCACAGAGGGAAGGACATGTCTCTTGTACCTTGGTGGGGATTTGTGACCAGTCATTTGCTTCTTTTCACATAAAATCCTTGATGTCAAACTTGATGGAAGCCAGGGTCCAATATCAGTTGTCCGTCATTCTCATTTGATTAACAGCCACATGCTTATATTCTCCAGTTGTTTAAATATCCTTGTTGGAGGGCTGGGGATCTATCTCAGTGATAGAACACTTGCCTAGCATGCATAAGGCCCTGGGTTTGATATCCAACACTGCAGCAACAACAATCAAGAAAGAGAGAAAGTGGGCTGGAGTAGTGGC